TGGCCCCCCGCGCTGCGGGGAAAAGTTTGGGGGGTTCATTCTACACGTAAAGCAAGCAAGCAAGCAAGCAAGCAAACCCGATTTATTTATTTTTGTTATTATTATTTTTAAGCCTACATCGCACTTTAAATATTCCCTCCCCCACCTGGAAACTGGGCGGGCCTTTGTCAGGACGTTTGCTTAAGCCAAGCGGTGCCAGCCTCCCTCGAAAAGTTGGGTTTGTGTGGGTTTTATTTTTTTTTGCCTCTTCAACAAAGGCAGTAGCAGATCAGTTGCACGGCTGAGATGCTGGAGGTGCTCAGCCCTTGCAGGAGGTGAGGAGTGGTTCCTAAGCTGATGCACTCATTATTGGGAACGGGTGGAGTTGGGGGCTGACTTGAGCCATCCTGTTCCAGGCAGTGACTAATGAAGAAGACTGATTCTGCTTGTTTTCTGTATCACAGCAAAAGAAAGCGCATCTTGTGTCTCAAATGAAGCTGGCCTTTCTGAGATGTGAATAAGACCTTTCAGTTCATGCACATTGCTGTAGGCCTTTATAACTGTTTAAGCCTATGGAAACTAAATAGACAAGCTTTATGTACACATGGAAAGGTAGAGATATGTACATTTTTACATATATGTGTTTTTACGTCTATATATATGTGCCTGTATTCAGAGAAATACTCCCTGGACAAAAGCAGTTAAGAGGAAGTGAAGAAAGTGGGGGTAGAGGGAATATGAAAAGTGGGTGTGAAGGAGATGGTCGGGGTCAGAGGAACAGCCAAGGTATCCATCAGGATGGGAAAATGCAATTTCTGAGTGTGGGCTAGCAGTTGAATGTGAACGCAGGTTTAAACCAGGGGAGCGAAAGCTCCCCATGGAGCTGCTGTCACCAGAGACTGCTAGGACAAATCTTGAAAACCTCTTGTGATTCCACACTTCGGTTCTGCATAAGCAAAAGCATCTTCTTCACAAGGAAGTTTGTGACTCAGGTATTTCTGACCAATTGCCGTTTGCTCATATTTTCTGCTAGCAAGGCTGGTCTGCAGAGGGAGTTTACCCAGAGAATTTGAAACTCTTCCAGTGGGCCAGCTCTGGAGGATTACTAGCTATGCTTTGAAGCCTGGGAGGACGATTAGAAAGCTTTCCAGACAGCTCTTTTGCCTTTCCTTGCATAGGTCTTCTTTGCATGGTGCTAGCTGGTAGTGGCACAGGGACCCCAAATATCCTCAAGACAGTTACAATAATGCCCCTCAGGATGGGGGGTGCCAAAGGTGCTCCCGAGCTCTCCAGACCTCGCTTTTGTACATTGCTTCTGGTTTTGGCTGTTTGACACAGTTTCTGGGTCTTGCTGCATTACATAACTAGATTCTGAAAGAAAACACCTTGTGAACGGTGCTCCTAGTTTGTATTTAGCAAGCAAGGATTAAGCATTGTGAGAAACGCTCAGTTACCAGTTATTAACGGCTCAGACAGGGTGTGGTGTGAAGCACTCTCTATTACGTTCTTGCAATACCGGGCGCCCCACCAGGTGCACGCACCTAACATCCATCGTGCAATGGTTTATATCCCTTTCTCCCGACCGCGAGTTCCCTCTCCTGATTCCTCACTGGCTGAGTACTACAGGGTGTACAGACTTACCAGACAGCCTACCGATACGCCCCTTCATGTATGTGTTCATATGTCGCATGTTCATGGAAATGAACCTTGGCTTTCTTCAGGGTGGAGAAGTTAATATGCATGAGCTCATTGCAAGGGTACTAAGACAGAAAAAGTTCAAAATTCAGGTTCCCCAAGTCTCTCGGTATCTGCATCCATCTAAATCCATTTCTAAATACTGGTCATCACAGTTGACAAAAGGATTACCTGTCTTCTCACCCCAGGCCAGGAATTTCAGTAGTTTGCTCTCTCAATGAATTGTTCTCCTTAATTGCTTTGGTGAATCGCTGCTGCCCTTCTCGATCAGGCTGAATATGCGAAAACAACATTCTTTCCCTTACAGCATGAATCTTCAGAAGATCTGTGGTGGGGGCATGTAAGGAACTGACAGAACTAATGCCTCATCAATGGACACAGAAAACCTCAAGGACAAGCTGCGGCCTTTGCATTAGTCTATGGAATGTCACCCAAGGGAGCAGGACCTCCCACTCCCTTGCAGTTGCATTGACAAACTCCTTAGATAAGCCTTAGAGGGGCAAACATGAACTGAGTGAAACCAAATGTTTCCCCTTCAAGCACAAGTACCGCTGATCACTGGCTCAGTTGTGTAAGCCAGATACTTGGTGGCTCTGTTGTGTAAGCCAGACACCATGCTTGCCTTTCTAATGGCTTGGTGCCTTCGCCATTGAAGAGGTGACAAGAACTGATAAGAGGTGATCATTTCTGCCCCAGGAGCCAGATGATTGCTCAGGAAGCAAAGATTGCTCAAAAATGAAAGGCGGGCAGGGTGAGTATGACCACTGACTCAATCGGACAAGGTGTGGTGCACCCTCTTTCCTGTTTAATGCATGTGCAGAACCCGTGTTCCACCTTTTTCCTTGTCTCTCATGGAAATGAATTTGTGAACTACCTGCCCCTCCTTGTGTAGGATGCTAATCAGCTGATAAAATGAACTTAAAAGGTGACAGAAAACTTTGCTGTATGTGCACCCACCACCCAGGATTACCAGACCTGAGACAACACTGGATCCAGAGGTGGTGATCCAGATTTCTTTGGCTCTCTTTCTCTACTTTCTTTTTCTTTCCTTTCTTTTTTTTTTCTTCTTATAGATTTATAAGAGACCACATTGCTTTTTATCCTTTTCCAAGTTTAAATTGTTTTCTACCACAAGTAAAACATTTGGTGTCGTTTCATCTTAATTTAACCTGAGGGGATCACAGAACTGTTGCAGCTCTCTGGGCTTCCAGTCCAGGTCATGACAGGGCAGCTGTGGTGTAGGACTTTGCCAAAAGCGTTTGCACCCCAAGGTTCTAAAGATTTCTATCTGAATTTAAAATGGAAATTATCAATTTAAATTTGTAGTGATGGCTGGATTATGATACAGGGTTTAACTTCGTTAAATGTAAACATAGTTTGTATTTTGTATGCTGAATGTTTATTTTCTACATATATAATAGTAGATGATTCTGTGTTTCCTACTGCATAATGAATAGTTTTTCACATTCTTTTAATCAGAAAAAGATCTTCACTGTGATAACTTTATCTTCTGTTAATATCAGAAAAATCACTGATGAAATGGGTGTTTTATTTTCTAGGGAGAGTCCTCTAAGGAGGGCTGTAAAGATTGCTGAGAATGAGAGGGACTTACCATGAATGACATGAAGCCCTTGGTACACACCTCATCAATGAACTGCAGATGAACACAGCGTGCGCCTCAGAGGATGGATGTGCATGTAGACTGGGACTCTGAGGATAGCATTTGTGACACAGGTGAGAAGCATTCAAATTATTCCAGAAAGACCACTAAGCAGGTGGGCCACATGTCTAGCCTCCAGAAGGAGGTAGGCATGAATTACTCGCAGATGTGCAGTCCTCGTTGCAGCTCTGCTGGCCCTTCAGGTAAGCAGGAGCTTCCTGCAGAGTTGCAGCGTGAAGACAAAGAAACCTATGAGCCCTACTACCAGAAACGAGGTGAGAGTACAGCTGGGGTAGCTGTCCCCTCCGGTACCAACTTTGACCTGCAGCGTGAAGATACAGGTTTAGAGCACTGTTCTTCTGAGCAATCCAAGAAACCGTGGAGAAGACTATGTGGTGATAATGAAAACACCATTCTTGCTGATGTGTTTGATGAGGAGCTGGAACCCATCTCTGAGGAGCCTTTGCTGTATCGGTGCAAGAAGTGTGGTTCCTCTTTCGAGTGTATGAGCGAGCTGCAGGAGCATAGGCGAACTCATCTTGTGGAAAACTCATACCGATGTCCCGTCTGCGCCAAAGAGTTCTTCCGTGCGGCAAATTTACGAATGCACAAGCTCATTCATTCTAGTGACAGGCCACACAAATGTCCGGAGTGTGACAAGGGTTTCATTCGCACAGCTGATGTCTGGAGGCACCTACGCAACGTGCACAAGATAGAGCGCTCCATGGTGATCTTGGGAAATGGCATGGCTAGGAACCCGTGGTCAATAGTGCACCGTAACCAGCACACTGTGGAGTACACTGATCAGCCTTGTGCAGAAAACCAAAAGTCTGAGGAAGACGACTATAAACCTTATGCCTGTCCGACATGCGGCAAAGGCTTTGATAAGCCTAACCTGCTTTCCAAACACAAGGTAATCCACCGGCAAGACAAGCCCTATAAGTGTCAGGAATGTGGCATGGCATTCGTCCAGCTGCTCAGGCTGAAGAGACACCAGCAAACTCACTCTGGGGAGCGCCCCTTCTATTGCGAGGAGTGCGGAGGGACCTTCACCCGGCTGGCATCGCTCCAGCGCCATCACCGCATCCATACTGGAGAGAAGCCTTACTCTTGCAATTTCTGTGGTCATTCCTTCACCGAGTCAGGTACCCTGCGGAGGCATGAGCGCACACACAAATTGGATAAATCTTAATTCTTAGTTCGTTTGTGATTGTGCTCTCTTTGGTTGCTTCTTACCTCAATGAGGTCCACTCATCTAGGCTGGAGAAAGCACTCCACCGCATGTGCTCTGGACAGTCCAGTCCCACTTCCCAGCAGTGCCTGACAGGGCACAACACTACAGCATGGGGACTCTGGAACTTGTACTGGTAGAGATTGCACTCACTGGCTTTAAACTGACTTTGTATGAAAAAATAGTCTTAATTGCCACTGAGTAATGAAATGTGAGACTTTGGGAAGATAGAACTCACTCATATGTGCTAGCACTGTCTCAGTTTGCTGAATTGATGATGTATGGACTATGAGACTTCTCTCTGCTGTCTTGGTCACTGGATAAATTGGCCCTGCCCTCTTGAGTGTGATGGCTCTTTGGCACTGGTTTGTAGATCTGCTGTTGCAGGTCTTTGATAAGTCAGAATGGTCAGTTGTCCTGTCCCTTCTCTCCTTGCATTCTGCTGAGTTTTTCTTTCCATTACTTTTTTTTTATTTGGAGGGGAGGTATCATGTTGGTTATTTAAAAAAGCGCATTAACAAAACACAAAAGAGTTCCTTAATAAACTCAACAGTTACCAGTTGTATTTCATAAATGTTTCCACCTAAGGGAGTACTGATCCCTTATGCGCTTCCATGTGATTATCTGAATTTCTGTTGATAATGGAAAAAGTTTTATTTTCACTATGATGGTGTATGTTCTTGGGGTGAGGGATTTGAGTAATTTTGTGTCTCTTGGAATCATGCAGTCTAAATACGTCCAGCTGCATATTACAGTAGAAAATGTTTGAGAACACAAAATTCAAAGAGGAGAAGACTGAATTTAAGCTCCTTTGCTACTCACTACATAGGAATCTTTTTTATTTAAATGTTTTCACACATAAGGAAACTTTTCATAACAAAACCGTGTTTTGTGTTCTGTGATGTGTCTGAGTGCTACCCAAAGTGTCTGCTAGACTCTTCACTTTGATTTAGGTTCAAATGGTTAGCAAAGAAAAATTTACCTAGAAACTAGCCCAGCAGACTCAGGCAGGTGCTGCCCCAAGGCTCTCACTTTCAAGGAGGTATGTATTGCCTCAGTTATGGAAGGGGGGGCTTTTAACTTTGAAACTTCATGATGATGCTTAATCTACTCAACCACCGTAGTAGAAGCATCCTGGTTGTCCTTAAGTTGCAGCCTTCATTTCCTTTCCGTGTCAGAAAGCTTTGCTTCCTTTCCCCTGCCAGCTGCCATAATTTCACTAATTTCTTTCTAATGCGTTCTGCCTTTTCAGCAGGAAGTTGTACAGCAGAGTGAAAGTAAAGCTTCAGGGTAGCGCACCTTTGCATTTACTACCAGGCTATTTAATGTGAGGTACTGATAGTGCCATTTGTTCACATATTTCATAGAGTGAAAAAATGGTGATGGCTGCTCAGCACCTTCCACTTGTGCAACAGCTGAGCTGGCATTTTACAGTTGTGGGCACTGTTGTGTTTGATATGAGGTCCTAGGCTCAGCTCGAGCTGAACTGCAGCAGCACTTTAGCTTGATTATGAATTGGAGACTAATTCTCTTGACCTCACTAATGGGTCATTTTTATTTCATTCCTCAAAGAATTTTCCATATTAGGGAACTGATCTGCATCCCACTTCTTAGGGAGGTGTTAGTTGTCTCTGAAATGATGTACTTTTTTAACGCAGATACCTCTGCTGGGATGACTGGACCCTGCATACCATATGCATTTGCTATAGCTGTGTGAGACTTCTCAAACTCGCCTCTGCAGGCAGTTCCAGTATGGTTTTAGGTTTCCAAAGGGCTTTTGATGGGGCCCCTTAGCAAAGGATCAGTCTTATCTGAGGGCTGCTTAGCCTCTCTCAGAGGAAAGGTCTTTCCATGAAAAAAATCCTGGCTGAAAGGAGGCTGTGGTTATATGATCTGCCAGGAGAGTTCATCAGTGCTGTTCTGTGGGGACCGTGCTGTTCAACACAATCTGAAATGACCCAAGAGAGGGCAGGTGGCAAGGTCACAAAGCTTTTCCAGAAGCTATCATGCATTGTTTACACCCTCATCTTCTAAATCCATTATGAAGTTGTCAGCTACAGTCTCCCTTTCTCAGCATCCTGCTTTTCTCTCGGGTATGTGGTGCTCTTGCTCTAGGGGGTTTTAATATCCAATTAAACTGCACCACTGTGTGCACCTTTATGTTGTGTGACTGTTCTGCTTAGGCAGTTGCAGTAATTGGGAACATCTAGTTATTCTGCTTTTTGGTGTTGGCAGTTGGTGGAATTTGTACCTGTAAGAGCATAATGGTGAAAGTGTTTTGAACAAAGTTCTGTTTAATGGGAAGAGTAAATGGTTGGTGAAATGAAAAGTACCAGGCTTAACTAAAAGGTTATTAGATACTTGCCTGGAAGGTTGACTTGCATATAAAGTGCTTGGATGTGTGAAAGGAGTAATTAAAATGTGTGATAACTCCTGTGCAAGCTACAGGAAATCTCTTGGAGCTTAATTTAACCCAAAGATTGTCACTACTTTGGTTTGGAAATCTCTCCCAGGCCCTTACAGTGTCAGTCTGAGATGCTGATAGCCTACAACACACATAGCTGGTCATGATACCTAGGTGAAACAGGAAGAGAGCCAGTGAGCAAATAAATATACCTGTTCTACAGCATTGCTTAATTCAAGGGGTTTTGAAGTGTGTGGTTTCAGCAGAAGTAATTTTTCTTTGTTCAGAGTAGCCAGTGCATCTGTTAGCTCGTTTGTGTCTGTAAGGGCCGTGGAAGAAGAGGTTCCCTTTGGTGGTGTGTTGTGCAGAGGACTCGCCCACAGACCCTCACTGCCAGGGCATTAGGGGAAGCACTTGGCCACAAGCAGAGGGCTGGAGCTCTGAGTTAGGCAGGGGGTCCTGGTTGTGTAAGTACTTTTGATTGCTGGATGGTGTTTCTGAACAGTGAAACATAGAAATACCCATTGCTCTTCGCCAGTTTTCCTGTCCCCTCACTATGTTGCCTCTGCCCAACTCATTTCCATCACAGGAAGATTGTTTCAAGAATAAGAAGTTAGAATAGCACCAGTGCTGCAGATGCCTGGCTCTCGCTGACCTGGAATCACTGGCCCGTCCTTGGCAGCTACAGCACTCACTGTTTTCTTACTTTGTTAACAAAGGTGTTGCATGGTAAATACATCAGTGCTTGTGGAGTGTAGATAGAGCACATTGCACAAAGGAAAAGCTACTACTGTACGGTCTTTCTGCTCCTCTGCATACCATCATCCTCCTCTTACACTATTTGCTTTCTCCCAGCATAGAGAAGTCTGAGCAGGAGTCTTTGATGAAAACAGAGAGCACTAAGCAATCCATCATTTGTCAATCAATCTGAGCAAAGGGCATTGAAATCTCTGGAGTAGGCAGCTTTTATTTATCATGTGATGATCTGCCGCTGATCTTGTGAAGTTTCTGTTGGCATAAAGAGCCCCCACTGCAGTTTTCCTACTTACAGACTGAAAACGAGCAGGGGCTGAGATCTCACCGACAGAACAGCAGATGAAAATGAATAGCATTTCACTAGGATAACATACTGGAAATAGAAGGGAAAGCTGTTTTTATTTTGGTGATCCCAGCTGTGCCTGATGCTTTGAGAAGTTAAAAAATTGTGGGCCTGTGCAAGGTTAGAGTCAGCTTAAAAGAGTAACCACTGAATGGGAGCTAGCCCATGAAGCAGGTAATACAGGTCTGTGCCAGAGTGCAGCCCACTTGTAAATTCACTGTAGGATGACTGTGCTGCTTTGGAACTGCCCCTTGCTGTGTGGGAATGTTGTTTTCCAGAGGAAGATGTGCTCAAACAAATGTGCTCGTGCAGTTTGTGTAATGGCTTTCCTCCTGTTTATCTGCTAGAGGAAAACATCAGAGCTATCAACTCCTTTTCTTATTAAGGGCTTTATCTTAATTGTTGCTTACCTGCTTCAAATCTGAAAGCAGGAGTAATGATTTGTTCTGAGCAGGTCTGTCTGTACAGGCTCCCAGCACACATCTTGTTGGCTGAAAGGGATTCTTAAGGAATAGTCCCTGGGCTAAGAGCCATGCACAGTTACCAGGGCAGTAGCCTAGCCACCAGCTTGCCATTTAACAGCTATTCCTGGTAACTACCTGGCATGCCTTAAAAAGAAACATCTTCATCGATGCAAGGATGTTCTTTGTTGGCTGTGGTAAGTTTTGCGCCAAAAGAGTCAGTGTGTTTTGCTGGCCTGCTTGCCTAGCCTCTGTTCTCCTGCTTGAAAGAGGCGGGGCTAATTTTCTGTTTCCTCAGTATCTTGACCATTGTTGCTGCTCCTGAAAATACTGCTGGTGGTGTCAGCAGGGATGGATTAGTGACTTAAGTGCGTTCTTTTGGATTGCATGGTGGATTGACAGCAATTTAGAAAAAGGAGTTACTAAAACCTGAGGTGTCAGCAGTTGTTAAGGGATTTGATCTGAAGACCTTTGCTTGGTAAGTGGTGTGAGTGGTGGATGACTTGTTTCCATTGATTGGGAGAAGGTACGATACAGCATTCAGTGTCCCAGACCTCGAGATCAAAGTGTGATCTAACTGACTTCTTGTGGGACATCTTGAGAGGATTGCTAGTATGTATGTCTTAGTACTTGAATTTAAGAAGCTATTGGACCAGTTGTTAGCTAGATTTCATATTTAATACCCTACTTGTTTAATAAGAGGATGAACTCGCTTGTAGAAGTCTGTCAGCTGACTGTGAAAAATGGTTTTCCCCAGGAGCCTGAAAAAAAAGGCAGCATTGACTCTTGCATTGAGAGAGTCTGTACTCTGTAACGTGGTTCAGTGCAGCCCCACAGAAGTATTTCTGCTGGATGAAAGCTGACCTTTGCCAGAAAGCACAGCTGTGTTGGAGCACTGTGGGAAGGTCAGCACTCACACCGCACTGCCTTGGCTGCTGGCACCAAACCCAGTGAACTGGGGATGTTTTTCTCCTGGTGCAGTATCCTTTGGGAGATGCTTCCTTCCCAGAGAGCTGGGAGGTTGGGGGCTGCATTTCCAGAGTACAGAGAGGGGGTTAGGTGGTCCCATCTCCACCTGCACGTTGGCTCCCAGTTACTGCCCAGCAGCGTGCGAGCGTGACAGAAGTGCAGTGTGTGTGGAAGCCTGAGGTCCATGTTTGTGACTGTGGTCCTACAGGTGGAACCCCTGTGGAGACAAAGCTGCCTGCACACTCCTTGCAAAGCCTCCCACCAGCCTTTGCTTCTCACACACCAAAACTCATCCTTAGGGGTACCTGTGGGCTTGGGCTGAGGTACAGGAAGACATCTGTGAGTAGCTGCAAGACCTCGTGGCCTGCTTCACTTCTGAACAGGCGCTGATGAGCAGTTCTTGTATACAGTCATAGACACTGAAATACGCTGTGCATTTGTACAAATAACCTGGATTTGCTCAAGACCATGGCAGCACATGTGAGCTAAAAGCTCAAGTGATTTTCTTTTAGACTGTTCATGGCATACATGAGTAGATAGAAAGTGTATTCACTTGAGATATAGCAGCAG